AGAAAGAAAGAAAGAAAGAAAGAAAGAAAGAAAGAAAGAAAGAAAGAAAGAAAGAAAGAAAGAAAGAAAGAAAGAACAAAAGAACTAAATGCATATACACTAACCTCCACCATCATCAATATTCAGGTAGGCCCCAAGGAGGTACATTTCACGTGTGCTTGTGAAATCTTTTCCAATATTGTTGTTTTGTTGGTGTGGTTACATTTTGTGTACCTACTACTAGACAGACACCTCACAGAATTTTCATGGCATTGTACCTTGGTGACTCGAAAGAGAACGGAATGCTTCCTAGCTCTCACTGCCCAGAGAGCCTTTCTATTTTCTGAGTCCAGCTGCATCCCAGAGCGGGAATCAGCATTGTTCACTCCTGACAAAGGGGCTGACTAACAACCACCAGGGCTGATGGCATAGCACAGTCGAACACCACACTCCTTTGAAGCTACCTACCCACACTCAGTAGCCGGGAAAGCCCCCTTCTTCAAAGGTTGGTGAATAAACACTTTGAAGAGATACTCGCAAAGTCAACGGGCCCCACTTTGTTGCTTACCAGATGAATATATATTATAACTTTTGGCTTCTGCTTAAGGTTAAGCCCATAATCCAAGAAATTAAGATGGTCTCTAATCTGTTATTGACCCTATTATATTCATAGCCTGAGATTCATCTTATCAAAAGATGGTTTTTCTGAATTAATGTGCTTGTATCAGGTCGGGAGTCACACAGTCCATGCTACGAATTCATGGGCTCAGACAGAAAAATAAGCCACAGTCTCCTGCCCCAGGACTAATGGTGGCAGTCTGGGGTGGGGAGTGGTTAGCGCACAGGAAAACTGTGAAGTGAGGGAGAGTGTGTGGGCTCTGATGCTACGTGATCTAATCGCCTAAGATTTCAGATAGCCGAGCTGCAGCACCTCCTGAACTCTGGACCTTTCTCTTGATGTTGGCATTAGTTTACTTCCTTTGCATGATCTACCCAGCAAGCAACAAAGACCAAGAAAAAAAAAAAAAAGACTGCTTGTTGGTGTCATGATACTTCGTAATTTATTAACAACTTATAGAAAGCCTGATTACAACCTGCCATAACAGCAGAGAATTGGGGAACACGTGACTACGTTGGGATTAGAGGGAAGGGCACATGATTTGTCTGCTGGGTCTGTGTGTGTCTGCAGTGTGCCTTTAATTGTGAGAGGAAAGGAGTGAGCAAAGCTGATGACCTCTGGTCAAAGAACTGATTGTTGTTTTCTTTATATTATTGTATTAGATTTTTTTAATATTATCTATATTATATTTCTTTCTTGAAGTATTAATCTTTCATATTAGTCTACTCCTCCTGATGATGCATTTTGAAAGGGCCACAAAACCACTGGGGGAGAAAAAAAATTACAGGGAACAGTGTCTCAGAGATAAGTTTAACTGCTAGAAGGATCTGGAATCCTGAGGTGATGGTAAAGGAAAGAAAGACTGAAAAAAATTGAAAATATCACGATCAGTTTCTAAAATGTTCTTCCTGAACTATTTAGCATGGGTTATCTCTTATGGAGAGAATCCGGAGGAGCCACAGAATGGCAAGCCAGAAAAGGCCGAGGGGATTGCTTTTGTAAAGCAAGAATAAAACTATGTCTCAATTTCTTCAATGGAAAGTCCGCAAAGCACGTGAACTTCCAGCTTCATGACCACTGTGCTCGGTCAGATACTGCATATTAGAGACAGGATGATGAGGCACTCGGGATAAGATCGACGCTTGGTGCTTGCCACTTTAGGGCAGTGACCAAGGAGTAACCACCAGTACTAAGTATACGCTAGAAGGGGGTCTCTGGAATGAGAGGACGGGCTGTTCCCTTCTCACACTGTACAGCGATGCCTCCGTCAACAATGGAACAAGTGTAAGACAGTGATCCCCAGAGATGATATCTCATCATAAACCTCAGCTCTGAGCTCACTTAAGGACTCTCTACCGTGTTTGCACAAAGATGAAATCTCTTAATGATGCATTTCTCAAAACATGTTCCCATGGTTAAATGATCCATGACTAGGTACATGGCAGGAGCAGTTGTGGGGACCTGACTTGACATACTACAGGAAGATTGCCGCGAAGCTCTACAGGATGACACAGCATAAGAGGCATCAGGGAGTAGGAGTGTACTAATTCAGAATTTCAGAGCACAGCTACAGACCCACCGCACTTGTGATACAGAGATTCGGGCAGGGATGGAGAGGCCAAACCAACAGTCACTGTCCCTGTGTCTTTTCATTAGCAGGCCACTACAATCCAAGGTCGTTCATCAGCTCGGCTGGCCCCTCTATCCTGGGCCCTAAAGGCTTTCAGACTCATCAGACAGGCAAGAGGCAGATGAAGAGCACTTGATTGATTTACAGCGGGGCTTTTGTTCTAGCATCTTTGATTTCTAGGCTATAATTCCCAAGGTCCAGGAGGGGCCAGGAAGCGGGAATTTCCCGGCTAAATACTCTGATCTTCTCTTGTAAATGTTTCTGCCCCTTTCTCTCACTCACAGATGATAACATTATCTCAAAGTTCTGTGGGTCCTTCCCCAGGGCCACTACTCACAGATTCCAGAAGCTCTCTGCATATCCAAGTAGCCTAGAAGTCCCTTGCTCACCGCAAACTGAGGATGTAAACAAGATTGTTTAAACTATATAGAGGAATTATACCTACAAGCATTCCAGATAATATGATCTAAACTCAAAGTAATTTATAAACTGACACACAAACTCTTACATAGTCATTTCCCAGATCACATAAGAATTCTGTCAAGCCAATATTTGAATGGAGTGAAAAAGTAAGGATGAAAAGAACGAATTCGCAGATGACTTTAAAGGGTCATGTGTTTATCTGATAGAGGGGAAAAGCCCTCTATTTTGAAATTTGAAAAGGAATTAATTATGTATTGTTAAACTTTCCAGTGAATTAGCCTTCTATACTTTTTCTAGCTCAGCCATTCACTCAAACTATTCATAATGATAAAAATCCATGATATTAATAGTGAATATCACCCAAACTACAATTTATTTCATTGACTTTTATGTTACCATCACAGTTCTGATTCTTTAGGAGTCATCTTTTTCAATTCAAGAAATCTTTAATTCAAGCTAGGTATGGTGACCCACCTTTAACCCCAGTACTCTGTGAATTCAAGGCCAGCCTGGTCTACAAGTGAGTTCCAGGACATCCAGGACTAAATACTAAGACCCTGTCTCAGAGGGGAGAGAAAAAGAAAGAAAAAAATCTTTAATTTGGGTGATTTGAGGCCAGTGAGTGGCTCAGTGGGTAAAGGGTGTGCATGCATTAGGGTGTGGGGACATGTGAAGTTCAGAGGACAACATCATGAATGTCATCCACTTCTTTAGACAGGGTCTCTCATTGGCCTAGAACTCACCAGTGAAGTCACAATGGCTGGCCAGTGAGTTCTGGGGGTTCCTCCCAGATTCGTCTCCCCTGCACTGTGATTACAAGTGCACATCATCCACCCAGGATTTTTACATGAATTCTGGGGATAGAATTCACACGAGCACTTTCCTGATGTTACTCAGACTGGATTCTTTCTCCAGGCCCCTGATGTGAGTTTGTAGAGTGGACCAAATAGAAGAATTTCCCTGCGGAGCACACTGGACCCAACAGAAGAAGTACATGATACAGCAGTTGCTTCTAGGATCAACACAAAATTTGCCGTGGGAATGCTGTTCATTTCAAATGTTATTGGTTCTTCAATTTCACTTTTAGTTGGCATGTAAAACGTGTTCTGGTAATGTAGTTACACAAGAGCAATGAACGCAAGGATGTCACTGTCGTTTTCTATTTTCATATACATGAAAAATAATAAAATCAGTTAACTAAACGTTTGAGACTCTGGAGGTGTGTTTTTTTCTTTTGAGTTTTCTATATTACTCTTAAGAAACACTGGCTTGAGTGAATGTTTTTTTTAAAACATCTCTGCCTTGTGAATCATCTCCATCACTAGCTCTGAACCATGTAGGCATTTTGAGGTCATTTAAAAACTTTTTGCATGATGCCTAAAAATTATGAGAGTTCATATCAAATATAATTTAGATTTGTATGTAACTGAAATTGTTTGTGAAGCTTACTTTAAGTCAATTTCTGCATAATTTTTTGACATATTCAAAACTGAGGACATATCTTTCAGATTTTGGATTAAATACATATTTAAATATGAGATATAACTGCATATTATAAGACCAGGAATTAATAAAATATTTCCATTTCCTGGGTTTTTTTTTATTCTTTGGTTTTATACTTCAAAATTAGCTAGAAACATAAAATGTTTTCTCAAAAATCAATGAAGATTTTCTTAAAAATCAATGTGTACTTTGTTTGTAATACCAAGATCAAAGGAAGAGTTTCAAGCTATCAATCACGAACACTCCTCCACAATTATTCCATATGGTAGCTGGAGTGTTCTCTCTAATAAGTTGAAGGCTAAATTAGGTAGAATCATTGCAGTTTTTAGCACTGAAATTTTGCTTCAAGAGCCATGTGTTTATACCACACAAGAAATTTCATTTGGCAAATGCTTCTTCTAGATGAGGTGAGTGTTATCATAAGTCATGTGCAAAATAATTACAGCGGTCACATTTCTTGCTGATTTATTTTATTCAGGACTACTAGCCTTCTCTCTTGGAAAATATATACATAGATAACAAAGAAATGAATGTATTTAGGGCCAGGTATGGTGGCAGTCATCTAAATTACTTTAGTGTTCAGGAGGCTGAGGCAGGAAGATTTGTGAAGCCGGTCTAGGCTACATAGTGATATTCTGTTTCAAAACCCCCAAACAAACATAACAAAACACCAACTGTAAACTGTAAAACCCATCCCTCTAACGAGAGTGGGTATCCTGTGAGGAGAAGGTAAGCTAACTGCTTACCACAGATGTCCACAACTGCCTCTCAGGGCACACAAGCATAGACTCTTACAAGACTCTTCCTGCTTGAACTAGAGAATAATTTTAAATGAGTTGACTTCATACCTTTGTATAAAGGTAGAAACCTATCCAGATATTGTTACTGTGTCGTGGGGCTCAGTTAATTGTAAGAATGCCAGTTTGGAACAGGCTGACCCAGCCACTCAGCACACTCTATCCATTTCACTGATGTCCTTGGTCCTTGGGAAGATGGCTCATCGGACAATGTGCGCTGTGTGTAGAAATCCTGGTGTTTAGAGAGTCATGAAGAAATCACTTAACCTCTCAAGACCTTGAATTTCTCATCTAGAAAATGAAAGAATTGGGATGAATGCTTTTTTAAAAAGGTCCACCTACAAGTACAATTCCATGATTTTTTTTTTTTAGGTGTTATCCAAAGCATTCTTTCTCATAACTATTTAACAGCAGAACAATGTTTTGAAACAAAATAAAACAGCAGCCCTCCATCTATAAAGCACATAAAGTGAAGCTCTGGATCTGCAGGACACAGAGAGGAACTCCTGACTGCAAGCTCACTTCTCTAGTGCGCTTTTCTTTTCTTCTTTTTTTCCTTTGTCTCAGTGAGAAAAGAAAACATCTGGGAAGGATCCCCCATGTTCCTCTCTCTGTGCACACCAGAAGCATATGGATCGAGTCACCTGACGGCCTTCTCTCCTCCCGTAAATGGCCATTTCAGGTCTCGTTTGCCACCTCCTTAAAATATATTTCTTTTTAAGAAATAAAAATAAACAAACCTTCTTTGGTTTCTGTAACTCTTTATTAAAACGAAACATTTCAAACCAACTTAAGAAGAGCCAAGTTCAGCAAAAGGATTATTTCCAGCTCTATCATGTGAGAGTCCTACTCTCGACATGCTTCAAGTTGTTCCCTTTTTAAACAACATCTTCTTTGTGCATCTGATCCCACCAACCAATGACTCTGGGTGATCCACATTTTTCTCTTTTGGCTGAACTTCTTATATCCACTCAAATAATCTCCCACCCAATACCCGCCTAATCTGTCACTGTTCTTGCAAGCCTCTCTAGTTTTTCTCACTGAATGTAATCTTGTTTTCATAGGGTCCTACATTATTCAGCCTCCGATTTTTTTCCCTTCCTTTCCAGCTTTTAACAGACCTCACCCAACTTCCAAACCAGTACCAGCGCTCCTCATTTGCTCTTCAAGTTACAAACTGAGACAACGTCAATTAACTGAAGGGAATCCGCCCATGAAGTAGAATGAGGGCCGAATGGCGTCCCCCTCCAAATTCCTGTGATGAAGTGTTAACCCTGTTTTTCAGTGCTTTCAGGATGTTACTGTTTGGAGATAAGGCCTTTAAAGAGGTGGCGACGTGGAAGGGGAGCCATCGGAACCAGTCCTATCTAATCTGGCCGGCGTCTTTATTAAAAAAAAAAAAAAAAGCCAATGTGCACATGTAAAGAAGAACGCGTGGCATTCAGGCCACGTGAGGACAAAACAAGATACAAATGCAAGCCTGGACTAGATGCCTCAGAACACGATCTACCAACAGTTTGGCCTTGGACTTGCAGCCTCCAAAACTGTGAGAAAATACATTTCCTTTGATAAACCTCCCAGTCTGATTTCGTGCCGGCAGTGGCAGCCATCCGATAGAATGCTGGCCTTATTTTATCCGTGGCATTGGTTAGCACTTGGGCACTCAGGCAGCAAGCTTCTTCCTTACCGGAAAAGCTGCAGCCAGCCACCATTTTGTTGTTGTTAGTTTGTTTTCATTTTCTTAAACCTCTTTGAAACTCAAAGTCCTCCTTTAAAAAAAAAAAAAGTATACACACACACACACACACACACACACACACACACACACACACTTTTTAAGGATTAAGTGAGATAATTTAGGTAAAACAGAAAACATTTCATTAGCTCTCACCCCACCCCCACCACACACTGAAGAATACGTTTTTTTTTTTACATTAGTGTTTTTGTTGATGTTTCTGAGCTCAGGTTTTAGCTTAACCTGGAGGCTCACACTTAAAAGCTCTGTGTCAGTTAAAAAAGTCACGGGGGTGCGGGGGTGGGGTGGGGTCGACAGGACCTGATTCCAGTCTATGACAGGTAGCCAGTGGGCCTCTGGTGAGCCATCTCCCTTAAACAGATGACGGGATTGCTTAAGTGGAAGGCAGGCCAAGGTTCACTCTGTGGCGGGCAGCTGTTCTTCCCTCCTGGAGTGTCATTGTTTTGTCCTTGTTCAGATAGGGTCTCAGGTAGCTCAGGCTAGCCTCGAACTCTCTATTTAGCCAAGGATGCCTTTGAACTCCTGATACATCCCAAGTGTAAGGAATGCACCCCCGTTTGGTTTACAAGGCATTGGGGCTGGACCTCAAGGTTTTGTGCTAGGTAAGTGCTCTACCAATTAAGCTTCATTCCCGCTCTCCATTGGGTTTTTCTAAAAGCCTCTAGCCTTAAAAGCAATCTCTAGAAGAATCTTCCCTCACCTTTCACTTCGGTTACCCTGATAGCTATGCTAAGATGTATCAATCTTCATTCGCTGGTTCATTGATTCACATTTTCATTCACTGTTGGTGAACATCTAGATTTGACTCAGATCGACAATGAAAAAATACACTGGTCACTGCTCTGTTAGAGCCTTCTTTCTAGCGGGGGAAGGCAACTCCCAGTCTAGTCACTGGGCGACATGTCAGATGGGAACAGAGAAAAGTCCTGTGGGATGAAGGAAGGTAATACAAAAGGTTGTTGTTCTCTTCGAGGGATACTGAGCAAGACCCCTGGGTGCGATTTGAGCAGAGACAGAACTCTAGGTAGAGTTTCTTCCTCATCAGCAGGGATCTTCCACTCTTAGTTCTTCGATGCCGGAAGGTTGGATCAGGCCTGTCTAAAAAGCTATGGTACCCTCTTTAACCTCCTGTACCTCAGAACGTGATCTGATTTGAGTACAGGGTGTTAGGATAGGTCCTAATCCCGTACTACTCATGACCTTATGGAGAGGTGGGGGGCCAGAGAGACACATATGAGGGGGAATACTATGTGTAGATGAGGGCAGAAACCATAGTGGTGTATTTACCAAGTGCTGCCAGCAACCTGCCAAAAGATACAAGATGGACAGCACCAATCTTGCCAGCTCTTGATTTTGGACTAGTATGTGTCAGACAATCGTTTTTTGTTGCTTAAGCATGGTGTTCTGTTATGTCAGTTCTAGAAAAACTAACACAACTGTCTAGTGCTGACAGACTCGGAGACAGGCCACGCCTCCCCCAGGTTCCCAGGAGAAACTCAGGCAACTTCCTGTGTTCCTGGATAACTACAGTTTCGCCCTCCCTGGACGCCTTGTTACCGGTCTTTCTTTCTCAAACCATGATATTACCTCATAGGTTCATAAGCTATCATCCACTCCGCCATGTCTCTGGGTCCCAGTCAGAATTCTCAGCCTGGAAACACAGGCCCAACTGCAACACCCATCTCCAGTTTGTTTCCCATTGGCCGGTGTGGTCAAACTTTTACTCATCCTGAGGCCTTAACTAGTTTACCATGTCCACTGGGAAGCCTCCCAATGCCCTTGAGACGGGCTACGGTATTCCTGTGTGCTCTGGGATGGGGGGCGGGGGGGAGCGGGAGGGTCGGGGGTGGGGGTGGGGTGTGTAGCCTGGTTCTCGGGGGTCTCCTTCTAACCGTGAGGTCCTGTCTTGTTTACATCTCAGGGTCCTAAGAAGTGCCTGGCGCGTGGAGAACGTGCATTGGGAGATTAAATGAGCAATGTTATCCTGCATCCCATCCAGCTGGACCCAGACGTATTTATTTTTCCTTTTAGCGGTGGGGGAGGGGCAGGTAACCTTTCCAGGGATTGCCCAACAGTCTGTAGAAACGCTGGAGCTGCATGGTGAGGTACCTTCCCTTAATGGCTGCAGGAGGAATTTAGAGGAGACATTCAAAAGCTGTTCCTTGTGTCGCAAGACGCTGCACAATAAGGAAGAGAAAAGTAAACAATCTATTCAAAAAAATTACCTTGGCTTGGCCAATATTTTTGAATGTAGTTTTTTTATTTTTATTTTATTTTTTTTATTTTTTGATAGAAAGTGTCCCTTCTGATCCCCTCTAAACCTTGATTTTTTTCAACTTCATGTTCATGACCTATAGGCGAAATTAGGAGGTGGACAAAATAGGGGAATTGTTATAACTGAAAGCCATATCTCTTGCTCACTTCTCCAAAAAGTAAAACATTCTTGAGGTTTCAAAATCATTTGCATACAGGGTTATAAATGCTGGACAGCCTGGAAAAGGGGTGGAGAGGAAGAGAGAGAGCTTTGTTGTTTGGGATATTTGAATAGGACCAACTTGAGGAAGACAGAGGAGTAAAGCCAAAAAAAAAAAAAAAAAGAAAAAGAAAAAAGAAAAAAAAGAGAAAGAAAGAAAAATTACTGAATGAGGCAGGCAATGTATCAGAATTTCCAGTTCTCAAGAAATATAGCCTTAAAAAAAAAAGTCTGGAGCTAGAAGGGAGAAAAAGAAACGGGGTGCGGGAAAGGGGTGCTGGCTCTTTACAGCAGGAAGTCTTCCATGGACATCAAGTTATGAAGAAACAACTGTACACAGAAGTCCTTATTCGGAGCGCTAAACTCGATTTCACCACTTAAAGAGAGATACACGCTCCGAGCAGCCTCATCCCGGCGTTGGGGGAGACAACTAGCCCAGCAAGGGAGCTCCGACTGGGTAGTGGCCCCGGCCAGTGTTAGGGGTTTTATTTGCAAGTCAATGAGCCAAATGGGCAACCGGGCTCGTTGTGCTGCGTTCTGCAGGCAAGGTTATTATTATCACCGCCTATTGCTCCACTGAACAATTTCACTGAAAAGGAAGAGTCCTAGCAGTGTATGCGCGCACCGTGCCATGCAGGACGTGCCGCTACGTGCCCACCTCCAAAACGACTTTATTTACAAAGCGATTACCAAGCTATCTATCTGTTTTCCTTTTGCAGCAGCAGCAGCAGCAGCAGCAGCAGCCTTACTCAGCCCTCGAATTTCTTAATTACAAACCCATTTGCTTCTAAATCAACCCCAAACCGTCAGGCAGAGCCCGGAGGGAGGCTGTGCAAGTTTGCACACACCCCCACCTCCTGGATCAAGGGCAACAGCAGAAGCAAGTAACTGTGTATGTGCAAAAAGGTGGATCTGGGGACGAGGATCGCTGAGTTTGTTTACAGAGCAGGGACGCCTCAGCTCGGATGCCAAAGCTACCAAGAGCTGCAAACGCAAACTTAGCAGAAGCACACGTACTCCGAGACAACGTGGAGTAGACAAAAAAGAGTGGAGCGGATCCCCGAACGCGGGAACGGAGCCGGCCGGGCCTGTGTGCGCGCTCCGGTCCACCTGCAGCCGCAGCCGCTCCCCGCCCCCAGTCCCTGTCCTTGAAGAGTGGAGGCGAGGGAAAAGCAGCCACACGCAGAAAATATCTCGGTTAGGTTTACATGCTGCCCGTGTAAAAAAAACACAAAGGCGCGGCTGCTCAGGAAAGCGCGCTCAGAGGACAGGGCAGGATCGGTCCTTTAAAAGCCTAACTCGGAAAAGCACAGCCATTCTTCGCAGGTTGGGGAGGCTTTTGCACCCAAGAAAACTCTGCAGGGCGGGGAGGCTGAACGAACCCCCTTTTCCTGTAGAGGGCAGGGCAGATCACTAGGTGAACCGGGCGAGCGAGCTGGGGGTGGGGAGATCTGGCCAGAGGGAGGCGGAGAGTGCTCCTTGCTCCTCTCCTGTAGGTTGCTTCCTTTGCACCCGGGTGGCCGAGAGGATTAGCTCCTGGCCCCCGGAGGTGGCAGGCACAACCCTCGCGTTTTGGGGGGCCAGGAAGACATCCACAGTCCCGGGAAGTTCAGGGCGGCGCCGGGGCGCGCAGCCTCTGCGCACGTGCCGCGCGGACCCGCGGACGCGGCTCGGGGACCCGATCCAGGGCGCTCGGAGTTCCGGAAATCCGCATCTTCTCACTCGCCGCTGGAGAGGCTCTCGCTCCGCCCTTCCTGAGATCTTTATATTAACTGTGGCCAAAGCCCTAAGAAACACAGCTCATTGTTGGCAGCTGCCGGGCGGTCCTGCAGAGCGGCGAGGGCAGCGGAGGGAAAAGAAAAGGGAACGGCTCGCAATCTGCCCCAGCGGCTGCTGCAAGACCTCGGCGCCAACCTCGCCCGAGCGAGCGCCTCACAGCCCCCTCGGCCGCCGCTCTATGTGCTGCTGAGCCGGTCCTGGACCCGACGAGCCCGCCTTCGGTGTTCCGAGCAGAAATCGCCAAGACGGAAGGTGAGCGCGGCGGGCGAAGCTGGCCAGGGCTGCTGCCAGCCTCGTCCTCCGAGGGCAGGGCTAGCCCCGGGGACGAGCGTGAGGCGGAGCTGGGGAATAACAACAGGATGTGCAACCACAGGGTGAGGAGGGCTGATTGAATGCCTGAAGTTCGCGGCCGGGCTCCGGGGCACTTCCTTTATTAGGCCACTTCGGAGAACCTAGGGGGGTGTGGGCTCCGGTCGCCCCCCCCTCCCCCTCCGCTCCCGGATCGCTGGGGAAGGGGCCGATCGCGCAGCGCCAGGCTGTGCGGGTCCGGCGGGCGGCAGGTCCGCCGAGGTGGCGAGCTCGGGTGCACGGACTCTGCCGGTGGGTTCCCTCCCCGGGTGGTGGTGGTAGTGGTGGTGGTGATGGTGGTGGTCTGCTGCTTTGACGTGCGCGCGGGTCCAGGGGCGACAGAAGTGGGGTGCTCTCTGGTGGGCGACACGTGTGGCGCGGGTCTCAAGCGTCTGCTCGTTTCGCTTTCAGGACTGGAAATGGCAGACCATATGATGGCCATGAACCACGGGCGCTTCCCCGACGGCACCAACGGGCTGCACCACCACCCTGCCCACCGCATGGGCATGGGGCAGTTCCCGAGCCCGCATCACCACCAGCAGCAGCAGCCCCAGCACGCCTTCAACGCCCTCATGGGCGAGCACATACACTACGGCGCGGGCAACATGAATGCCACGAGCGGCATCAGGCACGCCATGGGGCCGGGGACTGTGAACGGGGGGCACCCCCCGAGCGCTCTGGCCCCCGCCGCCAGGTTTAACAACTCCCAGTTCATGGGCCCCCCGGTGGCCAGCCAGGGAGGCTCCCTGCCGGCCAGCATGCAGCTGCAGAAGCTCAACAACCAGTATTTCAACCATCACCCCTACCCCCACAACCACTACATGCCGGATTTGCACCCCGCTGCAGGCCACCAGATGAACGGGACAAACCAGCACTTCCGAGATTGCAACCCCAAGCACAGCGGCGGCAGCGGCACCCCTGGCGGCGCGGGCGGCAGCGGCACCCCCGGCGCCCTGGGGCTGCTGAGCAGCGGCAAGTGCCTGCTGCTGGACTGCAGACCGTTTCTGGCTCACAGCGCGGG